ACCTTTCTATCGATTCAAAAAGCACAGAACCCAAGCTCATTAGCAATATACCAAAAAGAAAGCCAGCTCTTTAACCTTTTTCAAAGAAGTTTCTCTTTTCTAAAGGATTGTAACGTTTGCTCAAACCACATAGCTGTGGTGATGTTGAAGGCTACTTGTAAACCTCCAGGGAGCTCCAAGATAAATTAGTCTGCATGGAAGGGGCTGCAGCAGTAACACTTCTCACCTTAAACACCTCTCTTTTGACATTTCTGCCGGATCAATTAAGCGTTATATGCTGCGTGAGAACCCAGAAAAAGCCCCTTGTGACTCGCTAGCTGCTTCCTGATGTAATGGAGGGCAACTTTTACCTCAACAGACTGAGGCTTTTGAGAGTTGGAGCATATTGTGAAAGTCTAATCCAGCGGACAATGAGGAACACTTGGGTCCCTTTGGATGCCATATGCCTTCTTGATTTCCTGAGCCACGGTGCATGTACCCCATGCTGCGCCCAGTCATGCAGTCTTAAGAGCAATCCTGAGGTTTTAGAGTGGAGGTTTCTGATCTGTTTGACGGAAACAGTGTCAAAATTTACCATGCTGGTGCTCACTCTTATTTTATCTGTTTTGGGAAACAAGACCTGGATCCTCACTTAACAGGAGGGAGAGAATATATTTAATTGAGAAATTCAATGATAAAACAGATTGAATCAACTTTGGGAGGAGTAATTACCAAAACATCTCGTACAAGTCCTCCTTTTGAAGCAGTTTTCTTATTCCTGTTTCCTTAAAGGAAGGTAGTGAAACACTCTTTTGAGGTGTTTATGCACAGCCACGGATTTAAAAGAAAGAGAGACGCATCAACTTGTTGCAGACAAAAGGGGCATTGATACAACACAACTTATTTAAACCTGCACTGGGTATAAAGGATAAAACTGCAAGTAATGAAGCAATATGGAATCTTTACCTCCGCCAAGGAGGTTATGTTTTCGGTAGCGTTGGTTTGTTTGTTTGTTTGTCTGTTAGTAACTTTACGGAGAAATTTTCACCAGAGGTGGGTCTCAGCCCCAGGAGGATCCCATTAAATTTTTGTGGTGATCCGGACAAAATTCTGGATACTGTGATCCAGAACACACAAAAATAAGGGTGTCGTTGGAATTTTCAATGCTGAAAGATAAAGAATGGGCGGCACAGTGGTGTAGACAGGCGGCACAGTGGTGTAGTGGTTAGCACTGTTGCCTCACAATCAGAAGGTCCTGGGTTTGAATCCTGGTCAGGGCATTGCTTGTTTAAGGGGGGACATGAGCTGCTTGGCGGAGGTCTGCGCTCTCCGAGTGCTTTTCTAGTTTAGTAATAATTTCCAATTAATATGATGGTTATAGCAGCTTTGTCATGCACTGTGCATATCTGGATTTGAATCAACAATTCAGACAAGTGTCACAGATATTAAAGACATCTCATTCAAAAAACACGAGTGATGACTTCTGGGTGAACTCTTCATTTAATGTCCTTCTTTGTTTTGCTACCCACAGCTTCAGCTCTTCATTTCTGCTCTTATGGCAGCCAGCTTTCACAGCTTGACACACATAATCCTGTTACAGGCTTCATGGTCACCTATAGATGTGTGAGAATAAACAGGAGAGGAGATGGTGAATGTAAACTTGTTTTTTTTTTTTTCACAGCTTTTCTCAGCGTTGTTACATCTTAATTCTTTCCAAAGGCGTTATTGGAAAACTCTATCTTATTTATACCAGCAAACACATACACACACTGAAACATGCAGAGCCCAGCAGCAGGGAAAAGGCTGAAATCAACAACGGTTCTTCAGTAATAAGAGAATAATACAACACGAGAGGGTGGAAGAGATTGCAGATTGTGTGTGGAGATAATGCTGTTAGATGCTAGATAACAGGATGTCTCTGACTAAATGTTCTGCTTGAGGCGGGAAAGCTGCTGCAGATTCTCATGTAGCACCAGATCCTGTTGTAGACAGCTGCTCCTCCTCTCTGCCCTCTTCTGCATCTCATTTATCTGAATTTCCTACATGAATATGGACACGCTCCACACCTGCCATTCTACACCTGTCCACCAGCAGTCACTCCTGACTTTGTCAACCTCTGCTCATCACCTGATCAAGTCACCTGCCCACCGCAGTGGCTCTTATCTGTTATCGGAGTGCTTCGAGGGCAAACTTTCTATATTGGCCCACTTTCAATCTCCACCCAGCCCAAGCATTTAACCCCAAAAGACCTAACTGATATCAGGTGTGAGAGTGTGTGTGTGTGTGTGTGTGTGTGCATAAGGGTTTCAAGCCATATGATTGGGACACAGGACTGTGGCGTTATGGGAAAAACAGCTACAGTTCAGATCATCCCCGATCTGATAAGAAGTTGGTTCATTTACTAAAACTCCAGAGATAAAGTGTCAGTGAGGTCAAGTGCATTGCCCGAGTGTCAGTGACAGCAGCAGCAGACGATGCAGCCTCCACATCGCACAACGCTGGTTTGCCCTTGAGACCGGCGGCTGGAGAAGCTGAACATCAGCCGCCTCTTGAATAGAATCAGGAGAAGAATAACGTAAAACTGAAGTGCAGTTGACAATAGCACATGTTACATCTTACAAAGAGGCGCAGCAACAGCTGAATAAAGCTGTTATATTTATAATAGTCAGAGGCTTCTGTGTTTCTCCATTCAGATGATTTGTCCACAGAAAAGACTTTATTATTTGAAATCAATGTGGCGTACTCCTTCAAAATAAAGCTGTAAATTTGTCATCTAAAGTAAAATGATAACTGGTCCTTGAAATAGTTTTCGGCTTTTACTGAATAATACGACAGCATGACTGAATTCATCAACTTCAGTTTTTGCTCCCTGTGTGCCACCTCAAGATTTTCAGTGACTCCATCTGGCCACTATGAAAAACTTCTGTGGGCGGCTCGTTTTAGTTTTGGAAAAATAATGGGTAATGAAAATCTAAAGGGACATGGCCTTTTTTTTTAAATTAAAAACAAAACTTTGTGTGGCCATGGTTAATTAAAGTTGGGTACAAAAATGCAACTTAAGTGAAGTTCTTGAGCAAGGATTGTTGTCTGTCAAATTTAACTTTTAAATATTCAATAACCTATCAGCCAGTAGGGTAGAAGATAAGGTAGTAGACCACTTAGCTGCTCTTTGCTTCTTGAAACTCAGCAAGAATTAACCTCATTCATTTTTTAATTAACTTTACCACTGATCCTTCACACACATATTAAAATATTCAGAATATGTACTTGCCCATCATACGCAACTCCATTTCATACTTAACGAGGTTTTAAAGTGAACGTCTGTTGCATTTTTCTCAGTCTTGTTGCCAAAACTTAAGTTTGCCTGATTTTCTGATGAAAGAGCAGAGGTCCAACTTCCCTCTGCTCATGTTCTAACAGAGGTCCAATGGAGGTTCACGATCTTTGCACAACACTATCAAAAGGTAATGTTAGCATCCAGCCACTGCCGACACTGACAGCTAGGAAGTGGCCTATGCTGCGTTCGAGTTACCTCGGAAGTCAGAAGTCCAGGCTGAAGATGACGTCACACTTGAGTTCCCAGCGTTTCAATTACTAAGTCGGAAAAAAAGCAAAATCGGAGGTGGAAACAAGATGGCTACATCTACAAAAGTTGTTCTAGCACTTGCCTGGTCTGAATATAAGGCAAGCGCTAAAATAACTTCCATAGATGTAACCATCTTGTTTCAGGCCTCCGATTTAGCTTTTTTCCCTCTTGGTAACTGAAACGCTGGGAACTCAGGTGTGGAGTCATTTTCAGCTCCGACATCTGACTTCCGAGGTAACTCGAACGCAGCGTAAATACTAGCATACTAGCATTAGCCGCAAATTCCAAATATGAGACTTTAGCCTTTAATGTGATGAGAAGTTTCTCGCAGTAATTGTTGTTTTCTAGTGCTTGGCAAGACAATAATTTCCCCATTTCTCTTAAATCATACAGCGACAACCTAAAGACACGTTTACAATACAGCAGTAGCCTCTGAGCTTCCCACACTGAACTTTATGCTCGAGGAAAAATGTTTGCTGTGTGAATATATCATCTCTTTAATGAGCCTACATTCTGTTCTGCTTCCATGTGAAGCTCTCTAAAGTTTTCTTTTTTTTTGCTCACTAAAACTTTGTTTCAGACAGTAGAGGATGATTTTAAACACCTGTTCAGCCTCCAGAGTCTGCTTTTGGCTACAAAATCTTCAACCCGCTGTTGCATTCTGTTATTAGCAGTAGTGTGTGTGCATCTCTGTGTGTTGACTCTGCATGTGGTAATATAATTAGTTTAACCTCACACTCCGTTACATAGTGTTTGTTGCATTTGTTAGCATTGAGCGAATGTGAGAGTGTGCACATTTGCATGCCCTTGAGAGGCAGACAGGTGTGGGCAGGAAGGTATTTATGATGGAAAAAAGGCAGATCAATAACTTCCTACAAAGAGAGCGACCTCAGGGATACGATTGCTCAGCTAAAATGAGGCGGGGGGAGGAGAGCTATTGCCTATGTTTATCAAAACAATAGATGTCAGCAGGGGATATCAATCTATTTTTCACCATGTTCGGTGAGAGAGACAGCACAAACATTTCTGTTTTATAAAGCTCAGTGGAAACGCACATTAAAAGCATTTATATCCATAGAGGCCTGTCAATTTGGCTGAAATAAACTATACTTTTTTGTTTTGTTTGGCTATTGCACAAGTGAGAGCAGGCAGTGCAGACTGATCAAAGGACACAAACAACTGAGCATGAACAAAGTTCTGGAAATATAGTTTTTCTTTTTTTATAAATATCAACATGAATACAAAGATTTCCTTTTTTTCTTGCAACTGTGGGCATTTCAGAAAATTTAATCATATCTCACGATTTCCCTTGCAAAATCTAAATAAAATAAGCATTGCCATCCTTTTTTCTATAGTAATCCATAGCTACTAACATAATAAATATTTCTTAATTTAGAATCATCTGTATTTTTGAAAATGGATACGCATATGCAGTGTTAAGATATCTTTCCAAAGTGATTTAGGAGTGATTATAGATTAGTCGCCTTGGTCATAACCATCTCTTCCTTTGGCTCGGTTCTCTCCCAGCCTTGACGGATGCGGGTAAGGGTCCGGTCCACACAGGGGAGAAGGATCAGGAATTTGAGCACCAGCACTATAGAAGGTACGATCAGGCAGAGCATGTAGCCTGGAGGAGTGTACCACTTGTATGTTGAAGGGCGTAGAAATTTGTTCCAGCCGTATATGTAGCCATGCGCCGTGCATATGAACAAGGTCAGGTGGCCCAGCTTTGACTAAGAAAAAAAAGAACATAAATGTCATAAAAAATACTGTAACATCTTACGTAAAAGGTATGCTCAAAAGATATTTTTCTGAGAATTAGAGAAGATCAATACCACTCTTATGTTTGAGCTTTAAACATGTAGCTAGAGCTAGCTACCTCACTGCTTTGCTTTGCTTCACTGAGGGCCGCTACTAATTGGTAGAAAAGTAATAAAAACCTGCCTATCAGCACCTAAAAGCTCACCAGTTAACTCCTATCTTTATCAGCAGAAGGTTCCACACCCAAAATAAAATCTGCCATATTCTTTAATCCCTCATAAACACACCCTTTATCATTTGCACATTTTATCTTCTGTATTGATTATAGAAGCACAATAGAAACCTGTTAGCTATCTAGCTAACTGGTGTGGCTGCTTAGTAGATGTTCTCCTTTTTTCAGTCTGAGCCAACTCAGAATCGACACAAAGCTACTATAAGTACTAACTTATAAACTATAAATTAACTCTCAACAAGACAGAAAATAAAGGTTAACCATAGTAACAAGAAATTAATTAACATATGAACAATCACTGCTGTGTTGAAATCTGGTCATATGTAAAATCCTCTTAGTGGCTAACATGTAATTAACCTGCTTTGGGTGTTGGTGGATACCCTATTTTTGGAAGTGAGCATATTTCTAGATGATTTTTTCAATAAATACAATGAGAAATTAAAAAAAAAAAGATAAGTTTAATCAATTTTCCGTGGCATTTGTCCTCAAATGTTGCACAGATGTTGGAAATACCTGTTATTGTGGTTTTTTGCTCAACTCTCTACACCAGATCATGAAGAATATCATGACCTTGGCCTCTATCTCTGAGTCTTTTCCTATCTGTGGACTATCTATGGACCTGACCTTTACACAAACGGATCTATGACCTGTATTAACAATCTTCCCCCCATGGGATCATAGCAGGTATCATAATTCTTTTTAATGAATAACTTAACATTTAAAATCCTGGGCTAAAGTCAGTCAGGCTTTCGCTCTTTGTGCCCCGTCCATGCAGTTAGTTAACTTGGCCCTGGGGAGCTGAGTGCCAATGACGTATTGCTTTTACAATACTTTAATAACTCTGGTGAGAACATGCGCACTCCAAATATAGATTATCCGAACGGCCTTATGAGATGTTTTTTACAGATAGCAAGCGCATGACTGATAACAGTAATACAACACAGGCTGGAAAGCAAATACAAGCACTCACAGCCCACAGTAAAACTAACACATGCACTCAGAGAAACACATATTTCTAACTGTGCTCTGACCTGAACAAAGCTGAACTCTCTCCAGCTGAGAGTGCCTCCCACTGACGGCAGGGATGTAAGTCCTAGCAGGACATAAAGAAAGAAGCCCAGGATCCCCAGCACATAGAATGAATCTGTGCCCCACGCCTCAGTGTCATCAAAGTAAAATGGAGTGGTTTTATTGTTCTTCATCTGAAAGACACAAAGACAAAAACACAGCGCTGTTAAAATGGTGACTGTCTTAATAGAAACTTAACGTCTTCAGGATTCAGGAAACCCTGCAGGATTTGAACCAGCCTGCTATACCTCATTCACCACTGTCGAGATGAGCTTGTGTCTGACAGCGTAGCGAATGGGAATGATGAATGTATAGATGGCATGGAGGAAAGCCAAGCCCAGTGCAACCAGACCCATCTGCTTCCTGCACAGCATCCAGCGGTCCAGCCAATCAGGAAAGCGCCTGGAACATCCAAAAGTCAGCTTGTAACTTCATTCTCAGACTATGATACGCCTTTTTTTAACAACAAATTGCACAGTAAGTGAACATTTCTGCCCAAGTTTGATGTCTGACCTGTACTTGGTCCCTCTGTAGAGCTGGAGGAAGGCAGCAATAACTCCCGGCAGGTAGCAGAGGGACAACATGATGAGAGACACAATTGGAAACACCTGCAAGATCGAGGGCGAACATAGAGCGCATCCTTTAAAAAGAAAACAAAATGCCATCCATGGGATACTTGAAGAAAAGAAATGCAGCTCTCTTTTACCTTGTTTGCCAGGGATATCATAATTCTGTAAGAGATGTTTTTGTCCTGTTCAACAGCTGCATAGATGACATCTCTAATCAGCAGATAGAAGAAGAAGAACGCGATAAGGCCGATAGCAACAAGTAGCGGCAGCCTCCACTCTTGGAACAGCCGCAAGGGGAAGTCCTCCAGTTCTCTGGCTGCTGACAGAGATCCTCTATCCAAAACAGTGAGGCCCAGCTTTGTGGCCATCTCGCCTACAGCCTGCTTTGCCTTTGCACTGTTCCCACACAGGTACACCTGGAGCACAAGGGGATGATTGTTTGATTTAATGGGCGGTTTAAGAATAGGTTCGGCTTTAAATACTGGCAATACAAAGTCGAGTGTCGGATAGAGCACCTACGAAAATGTGTAAAAAACAATCAATAATGGACCCTGTGGGTGTAGACAATAGCATTTTCATTTACATCTCTCCTTTGCTCTGCACAAAAGACCAGCACAAGCAATCATCAACATGAAGCAAAAGTATGTTTGAGTTATTGAGAGTCACCGGAGGACACAAACGCCTCGGCAACTGGAATTATTGATATCAGCAGGTCCCTGAATGGTAGTTAAGTTACCATTGTTAACAGTTAGCTATGAACAGGTTTAGCTCAGACGCCTCCATCTATTATTAAAGCTGAATGACAAATACTGTCTCTGAAGCATAAGCTAAATTACAACTGAACTAAACTTGCCCTATATTCATTCAACAACTGCGGCTTTGATTAATAAAGGTCTGTACCAAACTCTGGTGACAGAACGCAAACAACAGAGGAAAACACCCAGCTCCTATGAAATAAATGAATAAATACCTGGTGCAATCACACCAATACATTCCAGAGACTGTCAAAGTTACAAAGATAAAGAGATGTGCTCCTCAGAAAGCCTCAAATGGACATTTGAGGAACTGCAGGGTTAATATAGAGGTTCCAGATTGGCTGCATTTTTCAGTGCAAGATTTTGCTGCCTGGTTTATTCATTTAATTTAATTCAATTTAATTTAACTTAATAAAAACTTAATTTGTCCCTAAGGGGTAATTAAAGTCTGATCCAACAACAGTTCCAGAGAATAAGACAAATATGTAACCGGGATGATTAAAAAATAAATAAAAAATAATAAAGGAGAGAGAGAATAATGTGCAAAAAAACCCAGACAAGTTCAGTAGAGAGGCACTGAGTACACAGACAAAACATCCTGTTGGAATAAACTCTTTGTCGATACTCCTCAGTTTACAATTTGTTGAAAAGAGAAGAATTTTTCTGCAATATTGAAAGTCAAAGACACCCCGGGTAAGAGGCTTCGACATCCTATAACATTGGAAAACATTTTCAGTTTTAATTACCTCAAAGGCATGATTTCAAACACATCTGAACAAGGTTTTAGCACATACTGTTCCATCGAACTACATCTTGATCTGCAATTATGTAGTCAGCAAGATTACTATTCAAAACACCAGGTGCATCTTTTCTTCAAATCATACCTTTGAATAACACAAAAAAAACCCTGTAATTCTTCATGGCGATCCCCTTTTATTTTTCAGTTTCTAATAATTTCCCTCTGATTATTGTTCAATGACTCACCAGCCCTGTTTCCAATATGTTATGCATGGCTGCGCCGCGTACACCTACAGTGTCTGTCGACAAAATTACCCTGGTTTTTGTTGATCTCCACACAGTCATTTCAGGATGAAACCCTTGGAAATACACGGCTATGTCAAAACACATGCAAACTATATTTACATACGGTGCTAAATATGTAATCCCATTTGGAGTTCTCACCATGCTGAAGGTTATTACCACACTCACAGCTCTGTGATAAGGCGATTAAGTTGTTTGTAAGGGGGGTAAAAACTGCACAAAAGAAGAGAGATAAAGAGAGCTGTGGAGAGGGTGAGAGAGAAGGAGCGCGCAGTTTGACAGGCGTACAGTGGAGGCAGCAGGATTGAGCGGTTTTCCCCCAGGTGTGTGTATAAGTGGACCGGGCAGCCAGCCATGTCTCCCTACATTACTGCACCAGTAACAGCAGGGGACGGCCGACAGACTAAATCTCCATCTGAATGTAAATGTGACAGAGGCACGGCCCCGCTGTGGATCTAATCAAATTGCCGGCCGGGGAATAGCACACACTTACAAGCATGCGCATGTGTGTGGAAATGTACTGTACCTACACACTTTCAGATGCTCGACTCATGTTCTCTCACTGCTACCTGTTTTCAAAGAAAATAGAGCACTGCAATGGTATTAATGTGTGTGTGTGTTAGTGTGTGATAGTGTGTGTGTGTGTTTGTGCCTGTGTGTATGTTTTGGGGGTTGGGGGGGTGTTTGAGTTGAAGAGGATTCGAGGCAGATTCAGGTTTGGTCTCCAGAGATTTCAGCATGTTTGTGTTTCTCTTTGTAGCAGTGAAACGGAAGCTGCAATAAACACGCTTCTTTGTACTTTGTAACATCATAAAGTGTGTTTGTTTGTTTGTGTGTTTATACGAGAGCTGTCCTCATTTTTTTTTCCTCCTTCCATTGTTTAGAGAAGAAGCCGGAATCAATCATGTGCAGCGACACAAATGAAATCGATTGCTTTTCCAAATTTTGCATGGTGAATGATGAAGACTTCATCTTGCTTTAATAACAACTCTGACAGACACTTATCCCGTTGTGTCCCGGGAAATGATGAAAGCAATTATTGTTTTCTAGTTTGAAGTCAAACACGTATCACTGTGAAAACATCAAGTCTGTAATCTCTTCCTGTTAAAACTCTGCTTTGAATGCTCAGGCTAGTCAAACAAAGCTTTCAGAAGCTTCTAGCCTCTGTTCCCCTTTGATCCCTCTGACATCTTTTAACAGATTCTTCACTTACAGCCCTCTCTCACCTGCTTCCCTGCCAGCAGTCCATTCTGCAGAGCCCAAGCAGACAGCGTGTTAAGGCCTTTCACCACAGCAGCTCCAGGGACCAGTCTGCAGAACACACAGCAAGGACTTTTAGTTCAGCTATTGTTTCTGTCTTCAGACACACAGACGGGGAAGTAAGGGGCTCAAAAATGGTAAGAATTGATGTTTCCACTTCAGCTGAATAGACACACAGCAGGACATCCTGCCAAGAGAGCTGAAACCCCACAATTTTTTTTTTCTCTTTTTCATTTCTCACAGATTCAGCAGAGAGTTTTGATGTCTCATGCTCTAACTGGCATTTAGAAGCACTTTCAAGAAAAAAAAAATCCAGTATTTATGAAAAAAAAAAAAAAGTGGCACCTACAGTGAAAAAAAAGTCTTGCTGAGATGCAACAAAGATTTTATTTTCCTGGTAGCACACAAGCTGAACATTTTAAGAGCATGTCAAAAAAATAAGCTAAATTTGTCTGATCAGGTTCGATTTAACAGATATGGTATTTATGGGAGAGATGTTTTCACAGCTTTGTGTTACCTCTGTAGGTAGGCGGCGTTGGCCTCCGGGTACATGCCTTTCTTCAGGTTATTACTGAGGTCCACCAGCACCTTTAAGCATCAACAGAGAGGTAAAGAAGAAAAAGAGTCACATCTATCCAATTAAGCCTTATCTTATCTCATTCATATTCCTGTTAGAGCAAAAAGAGGATGCTGATTAATGCAGAAATTTTGATAAAGGTGTGAACAGAAAAAAGGCTTCATTACACATCTTGCAAAAAATAACCTGAGAGGAACGCTGATTATGCACACCATCGGGGGAAACGCTTTACAAACTAAGGCCTGGATGTTATCACTGAAGAAGTCCAAGTATTAATTGATCAGCTGTGTATTGTTAATTAATCACAGACTTTTTTAATGAATGATTCATGACATTTTTTGGCCAATTAGGGAAAAAAGTTAATCTTCTTTGATTCTAGGTTATTAGATTTGAACATTTTCTTTTTCTTTCTTGTTTGTTTTTTTCTACCTCTCTCAGACTTTAAACTAAATATATTTTGGCTTGTTAAAAATAAAATAAAACAATGAGTATGTCAGCTTGGACATAGGCAAAGACTGTACGGTCAATGTGACTCAGCCGCTCATCATTGTGCGATTTGAAGCTAAATTGCTTTCAGTATTTCTGGGATTTTCTCCATTTCCTGAAACCTACATTTGCACAGTGGCACTCGGCAGTAAAGTCACTATTATGACGCTCTGTTCAAACAGCGTATCCCCGGATGATCTATGCAATCCTTGTACACTCATAGGCTGTATTAAGTGTCAGTCATAGAAAACATGAACCCCCTAATAACTTTTAAAAATGGAGCTGTACAGAAAAAAGAGGACTTGAGCACAAACCAGTCTTACAGTGACTACATGTCAACATTGCAACCAGGGGGGAGAAAAATTTATAATCTGTGTAATTTTCAAAGTTTGTCCACAGCTTCATTCATTTTGCTAGAGGAGGCGGGATTTATGGCCTGTACTGCAACCAGTCACCAGGGGGTGCTATTTTTGCAGAGGCTTCACCCAGCAAGGAGGCAGAGGACGTCCATTCTATATACAGTCTAGTTTACAATTTTTGATCTGGTTAAAAATGATCTGAATTGCTAATCCCTTTTTTCCACCTTCTCCACTTGCTCTGCTATTAGGGAGGGCTGCATGTTTAAAAGTAAAATGTTCAACTTTCATCCTGACTCTAAGTGGACTTCTTTACTGTAGTGCTATGTGTAAAATAACAGCAGACAGTAGAAACAGAGTTAAGTGGATGATCCTGATTCAAAGTGAGTAATGACGATAACATTGGTTTCTGATTAGGATCAGAAACTTTTAACCTTTTCTTTCCAAATCGCTCTTTCAATTTCACTCTATTTGGTTTTTACACTTTGAATTTTGATATTGTTTTTATGTTTTTATGCAGATTTTTTTATTTACATTTTTTTCCATGTAAAGTATATTTTTTTCTTGAGATTGGCATAATTTTTAAATTCATAACAGTAAATTGTAGTTTCAGTTCATTGCCTCACACATTTTCATTCTGCCGTTGAGAACACAGGACTACCACTTTCAAAGCAAGCAATTTAAAATCAGTACAAAAGGAAATCTATTTTTTATTATCTTCAAACACAAGAAAGGACCAAATTTTGATGTTTCAGTATTATGCCCATGTAAAAATGTGTCTACACAGACTATAAACCTCAAAGCAGTAAATTTATTTTGATAATCCAGGTATTGTGAACGACCCAGTTCTATATTGCTGTTAATATTTCCTATTGTACCTGTGAGTCCATATATTACGAATATCTGTGGTCACACATTTATGGTTTAAACCCCATTAGGGGCCCTACAGTAACCTTGAAATGTCCAGTGGTTTTTTAGAGAAGAGAAAAATACCCCCACTTTGCAAACAGCTGTTCCTCAAAACTTAGTTTTGCTTATTTCTCACAAAAAGATGGATACCTTAACACTGTGGAGTCTTTATAATTTGGCTGATAGAAACCAGTTTGAATATATGTTTGATATGTTTAGTTTGGAAAAGGTGACAGTGATGATCTTACTTTTACTTTTGTCTACTTGTTTTATGCCCGCTGTAAGTTGCAAAAAGTGTCCCCAGTAACACCCCCATCCCCCCCAAATAAATGTTAGGATAATGACAGTGGTATTCTTTTATAACAAGCTGAATAAATAGAGAACATAAAACAATGTGAGAATGACCAAATTTGATACACAACTGTTGTAGCAGGTGGCAGCGTTTAAAAAAAGAGAGGTTTTCTTTGAGTCCTTATTTTGTTTATTTCATAAATCTAAGTCTATATTTTGTGTCCCATTTGATAAAGTAGTGCATCATTATAATGAAATCAAAGTGCTGTGATTTTGACATAATTTGTCTTAAGTTTTTGTTTGTACCTCCAGTGTTTCTGATGATCTTAATCAGAAGCAATAATCTTTTTTCTCTGCTTTAATAATTTCTTATCAACTCTAACACTACTGTTTGTTGATAGCTCTCCCTGTTATGCACTCTTGTTAATCTTAACTCACCTTTCCCTCCAGGTGGGGTGCCATAGTCTCCAGGAATCCATAGTGCTCCCTGTGAACGCAGATGAAGATTATGTTGGCTGACTGGGCTGCTGCAGCATGGCTCATCGACTGAACAAAAACACACATTCACAACATTAGGACACACGATTTAGCTACAAACACTCTCCTTTTTTTTTTGTCACAGTTTTACCAATCTACCTGAGCTCCCTCGGGCAGGGGGCCACAGCTGTTGGGTCTCCGGCTGCCGTAAACCACTCTGTATCCAGATTGCAGCAGACGCAGGCCCAGAGAACGCCCCAAGTCCCCCGTCCCAAATATGCACAGCAGCTCGGGGTCAGGGACAGCTGCTGCACCCAGGGGATGCACGCTCTGTGGCTTCACTTCCTCATACATGTCATCCCCCACTGTCATGTTCACAAGTTGAGTCTGGACTCTCACTGCTCCCTGCTGTGTTATATCCCACTGGAACCTGACCTGTAGACTACCAATCCCTCCTTGTGTTTGAGAGTGTAAGACGGTGTGTGATTTTTAACCCTCTTCTGCCTACTGTCAGTGTGTTTATGTTTTTTTACAACGCCTTATCGCCTGCTGATTGCACTCTGACATCACATGTGCAGGAGTGTGCAAGCATTTTTTGTGATCTGATTGTGTAATTTAAACTGTGAGTCATTGCTTCATCATGTTATCTTAGAGTATTCATATCTTTTTTATGTGTTTTATCTTTTTATAATCGCCTCTGTCCAGAGATTAATTGATAAAGCAGAACAGCAAAATGTTAGTCACTTGTTTTGAGGACAGCTCTGCTCTTTGCCTGTATAAGATTAACCTAAGTTTCACATTTTATGCCTTTTTATTGCTTTTGAGAAGCGCAGCCTACTTGAAGGTGAAATCTAGTTCAGCCAGAATTTGACTTTCACATTTGACAGAAAAAAATCTCATTCTTCTGCTTTCCAGGGCTTGCCTTTTTTTCATTATTTCTTCTGTTTCCATGCTAGACATGGTGCCATGTGGGAGATCCTGGCCCACAGATTCATTATCATTTCAAAACCCACTGTTCCAACCAAACGACTGCAGAGAGAATTTGTGCAAATTTAGTGTTCATGTCCCCATGGCTAAAACATCTGCAAAGTTGTGACACGAACAGACTCAACAGAGCAGAAATGAAGCTCAAATGGAAATGCTTTGTGTGAGGCTTTTTCTTTTGTGTGAATGCACAGTTTCTCGCAGTGCTGTGTGCGTGTTTGCGTGAGTGTGTATGTGGGTCAGGATGATCAGAGCTGCGCAGGGACTCAGCTGTGATCTGCAGGATCAGCAGCACCCGGGGAGTTGGCCCCACAGACAGAGTGACTACCTGGCTATAGAAATGACACACAGCATCACATCAACTTTAGCGACTATTTGCACAAAAATACGCTCCTCGCCATAAAAGCAGCCTTATTGAAATCACAATGTGCGCATACATAGCCGGCGAAATTTATGGCAGACAAGCAGCACGTTACCCCAGGAGCTTTTACAGTCAAGTCCATAACTAAAGCATTAATGTCTACCTGGGGGGATATCGAAGCAAAATGAGAAATCATTTTATGCCTAACCTTTAAGGCATCCATTCACTTGTGGCACTGTTAGAATAGACCTGATAGCAGATCCACTCTGATGACTCATTTACTAGCTTTGCCTCCGGGGTACCGCTTTTTCTCTCTCTCGCTCTCTCTCTCTCCTACAGCATCTGCCTTTCTTTCCTATTTTGACTCTCACCACTTTCTCACTTGACCACTTTTCCTACTCACACATCTCTCTTTTCCAGTATTTTCTAAATTAAAAAGCATGGTTGATGATTGGAGAGATTGGTTATTATTATGAACCTCGTTTCTATGGCGATCATGGTCCTATAGTGCAATCTCCACAAAGTGAAGAGAAAAAAAAAAAAGGAAAACATCTGTTCACCCTAGCATGTGCAGGGCTGCAAAAACATTAACCAATGGGAGCCATCCATCCCAGAGAGCTCCTATTGGTTAATCTCCTGCTCCGCCTCTCCATCCCATCACCTCGCTGTATTCAACACACCCCTCTCCCGTAGTTCCAACTCGTCCCCTCCCTTGACTTCTAAGCGGCTAACAGTAGCATAGCAACTTAGCTACAGAAGCTGTGATGGAGAAGGACGCAAAAAACACTTCTACCTGCCCCACCGCCAAAAGTGGGAAGGAAACGCATGCCCATGGGAGAAAGGGCAGGGTCGAAGAGGAAATGTGACCAAGCGAGGAATCTAACTCAAAAAAACATTGGGTCATCCTTCGAGGGGTGGAGAAAGTTCTGCTAGGATTTGGGCCTGAAAACAGACGCCGAGACAGCAGAGTTTTTGTTGAACAGGTAATTTTTGACTTTCATCGTGGCACATGTTACATAAATAACTCTTAGTAGTCACTGCAATGTCAACACGGTAGCTGTCCAGGCAGCTGCAGACGGTGCTCGCTAGCAGAGCTGGTGTTTACTGCCGCTAGTCACGAGCAATCCGACATGGTGAATCCTATTTGGAGCTAGTGTAGGACCTTCTACCGATTCTTGCTCTGCCAGAGGGGGAGTGTCATGGGGAGGGCGATACAGGTTCGGGGGGTGGGGGGGGGGGGGTTATCGTGGAGCACATAGGGGAGAGGTTTGTGTGTGAGGGGTGAGACCCTTTTTTTCCAATCTGCTTCAACGGTTCAGTTTTTTTCAACTGCTTCTCGGATTGTCAGCTATGCCTTTAATAAGTGAATTCAAGTCTTTGATTAAGATTAAGTGAAGCTGTATTCACCAAAGATCGTGTCTTTTCAATCAGTTTTACAGAGATAAATGTAAACTGTCTCTTTGCACCGACGGTTATCATCCCCTATAAACATGTACAGTAAGGTGAAGTCTTTTCAGGACACTTCCCGGATACCCAGACCAAGTACAACCTGAGGTTTCAGCCAGAGTTGACGTGTTAAAACCTGTGATTACTAAAGAGGATTCAGGAGTGAACCACAGCAATTCAAAAAGAACAGGTTAAGTGCTGCATCTGTTTGCAGTCCTCAGAGTAAACTGTGGCCTTCAAGGATTTATTCTCACTGCAGGCTGTAGGAGGCAGTCAATAGCCTTTGTCTTTTGCATCATACACAGTATTTGCAAGCTCTATCACCTGCAATCTCCACGAGTGTGAGCTTGCAATTTGTAATATGCAACAAAACACAACCTTTGCACATAGCAATGAAAATGTTTTAGTGTGGGTCACGCTGCATTACTCATAGATGTTATCTCAGTGACATCACTCATCAGTTTCTGAAGTGGACTCTCAAAGCTTATTGGCGGTATTATGGTACCGGAAAATGCTGACTAAACCCAAATTTTGGTTGACTAACAACAGGCAAAGAGGTGGAGTTCAGGCAGGCCCTGAACCTCCTCAATAACAGCTACAAGCGTCCTTTCCTTTCTCATACAAAACTCATAATAACCATAATATCTTCAAAACTGAAGTGGTGACTCTGGGAACAATGTGTTTTTTGCATTGGCTCCAAGTTTCAGCATCAGAGGTTATCTGGCTGGTAGGAAAAACACTAAATGCTTGTTTTCCAGAAAACTGGCAGCTAAGTATTAAACTTTTGGTTGAATAAGTTGACAGTTTTGCATTCCTTTTTTTGCCACAATTTGCAAAACTGTGAAGTCCAGTTTTTGTCCAATATTGGCAAACTGAATACACATTCAGATACAGAAAGATGAGCTCTTATTTGAAACAGGTCAGTATTAACCATTTCTCCACCAGGAGGAAGGTATCTGGATAACTTGGTAACACTCTGTTATAACCAACATTTATTAGAAGTAAACTGACCGCTTATAAACAGTATGGGAATAGACATGTGCACACAGACCAACTGTGATTGTGTTGTTAAAGGATAACCCACAGAGAGTGCTCAATCTATCTGACTCCTGTGTTGTTTGAATAGTAGCAGAGCAAAATAGTGAAGGTCCCACATGCATCTATGTGTCCAGTGTTTGTGTCTGTCAATATTTAACCACTGCATACTGAAAATACATTTACAGTATGTTCTGTATGACTTTTTGTTGTTATTGATTCCTGCCTATAGGGCTGGGCGATAAAACAATAACGATATATATTAATTAATTTCCCTCAATATAAAACATGGTCAATATGCTTTTTGATAGTCAGCATTCTGCCATGTTTTGGTACCCTTACTGAATAGCCAATAAAAAGGGGAGTTGCTCTGGGTCCACTTCACACTGAACCAATCATGTGCTGAATGAGAACCAAGTAGCAAACAACTGCATAGTAGCAGGCTGCAGCTACACACAATCATAGCACTTTAACACGTGAAGCCGACAGCATTGTCAGTGAGAAAAAAAAAGAAAAAATGAGTGCTACCCCCGGCAGAAATGCAGATGAAGACTCAACAGATGATGACATCGGCTTGGTTTTTTGAGGTCGGACATGAAGCACAGTGATGTGAACTGCAAATTATTTTAAGTACATGTTCTCGCAAAGTCGGGAAATACCTAAAATCTCTTTCACCACCTGAAGCAGTGCCACATGGCAGAGCACGCGCATTACAAAAGGTTACAAACCGAGAGCTGAGCAAGGAGCTCATGCTGCCTGTGCAGCCGAAATAGCCGACCATTCAGTCCGCTTTCTCTAGCGCCACGCCTTACGATAAAAAGTCGAAGAGACACAAAGACCTCACAGATGCAGAAGCTTATTGTATTGCAAAAGACATGCTACCAATAAGTACTCTTAAATTTCATATAAGAGTAACAGGGAACATTCAAGATTGACAAGTGATTTTTTTATATTGTGATATATGTATCGATATCGACTGATATGAAAAAAATATATCGTGATAAACTTTTTCCCATATCACCCAGCCCTACCTGTCTCTATCCTCTTTTTTTATGCTTTGTGATGCTTTGTGAGTTATCAGTCACAAATGTTTAACACTCGATTAAATCACATATGCTTTACAGAGCTTTTGTGAACCATTCACACATAACTACAAAGACAACTTCCAATTGAAAACTTTGTAATTGCCACATAAATAGTGTTAATAAATTCTCCACACAGTGTGATTCACACACACTCCACAATAACACTGTGTTGACTCTGTTGACAAAACCAAACAAACTTTGATTGATGTAAGTTAAGGGCGGTATTTCCCCCAGGACATGGCATCACCTGACAGGCAAAATCTAGAGGAAAATATTTACCAGTTCATCCATATTTCACAAGCTGTCTGAAGTCAGATAGTGTGTAGTTCAAACCTTTCCTCTCTCTCTCACGCACATACACACACACTCTCACACACACTCACCCCTTGGTTCAAGACTTTAATCCTTGTAGGTTTCTGAGTCCACAGAGGATTTGAACTCCTGCGAAAACGTTTATCCCAAAACATCTGGTGACATTTAACTGCAATGCACTCTGGGATACATGTACATCAAACACATGCTGAACTGCCATTTTAGAAATGCCAGGTGGGAGTAGCTCAGGTGAGAAACTTTCACTCAAACTTTGTGACTATTGTGTTGGATCAGACTGCAGTAAAACATGCATGTAATGGTTCACATTACTCTTTCATTCTGCCGGCTCCAGAGACAAAAATGAAGGATTTAAATTTGTAAGTCTCACCCGCATCGCTAAACTGAATTGAACTGCTGTGGTACTGTGGTTCGATCCCCAAGGGGAATTATTTTGGAGATTCCAGCTGTCTCCAGCTGTCAGATGGTGCACAGAATCACATGAGGAATGGTTATTAAAGACAGTTTTGAGACACAGCGTGCATATTACACGCATCTCCCGCAGTGACAATTACCAGAGAATATTTTGCAGGATGGATGAGTTCTGCAATATTTCTGCCAGCTACTACTGTAATGCTTAAGGCATGAGGTTCAGAATGAGGTTCTGACTAAGCTTAGGTGTCTGATGTTAAAAACTGAGACTGATCGAAGGTAGGTAGTCAAGGAGATGGGTACTGTACTGTGTATACAAGAGAACAGAGAAAGAATAACAGAGAGAGACTGAGACCCAAAAAGACAAAGGGAGAGCTGCAACTTAGGAAATCAGAAATCGTGCCTCAGCAGAACAAAGCTGCTTGTTAAACCTCGAGTTTCCCACAAGTATTCCCGGAATTATTCTATAAATATTCCATTACCAACTTCCCAGACAGACACGCTTGGGATGTTCATTATGAAACACTTAAAAAAAGGTTTAAGGAGAAGCAGAAACAGTTTGGATGAAAGACTAACCTATATTCTCTCAAAGTTTGTCTTTGATGAAACTGCTGCTTTGGGGCTGATAAAATAAACGAAGAGCTCACATGCATAAGTAAGTATATTCTGTGTGTAAACTGAAGAACATTTGGCACACGGAGAAGTGTTTGTCAGTGTTATGGACATTGTTTTGTTATTGTACTGTTTGTGTTGGGGAAATCCATACTCAGAGCTTTCATTTATTTATACTCCATGTTTTCACATTATCACCATCTCTATAGCAGGCCCACATACTGTATTGAAAACATCTCCGAACTCAGAAAGCCTCCTTCTCTATCTCTGCTTTAGCAGAATGAGCGTTGACTGCATGTTTGAAGTTGAGGATCTTATCTGGCAAGCCAAGCGGCAGAAATCAGAGGCGGGGAGGAGCTGCATGAAACTGCAGATTTATATTTGTCACCATTATGAGATCTGTCCACAGACTTTCAGCAAACACGCATCTACAACATTAAACGTTCAGTGTTTTTATTTTTTTCAGATACTTCTTTTTACAAAAGAGAAACATAATTGAGAAGAAGCAGCAGCAGCTACAGAAAGTTGTTCAAGGCAGAGCAGTGGGTGAAAGTGTTCACATATCATGCTGTTGTCAGAAAAAGTCTTTATGTTAGTGTTAAGCACTAATGTAGGAGGAAAAGAGGGCAAAATAGAAGTAAGAAAAGATTGAAAAGGTCCTTTAACCAGCCGAAATACATCCTCGATTAAGGAATACAATTTATTACCATTAGCAAAGCGCAATAACAAGAACAGGAGTGAGTAATTTTAGGTGGATAAAGGCTGAAGTCACAAACAGAAACTCTCCCTAAAAAACTTAATAATCTGAAATAAAGATAAACTAAAATACCTGTGTTATCACAGCGACTCTCCCTCCAAATGCGTACAATGCTTCTGAGCAAGTGGTGGAGTGGAACGCTACTGCGCAATGTTGATTTCAGGAAATGGAGAAGAAATGCAGAAATACAGAGAGCTTTTCAGCTTCAAATCCGTATACTGGCGGAAAGCGGAACTAAGTTTATACAGTCTATGAGAGAGACATTAGGTTATATTTCAAATTACAGAGTCTATAACATAACCCATTAGCTGAGTAGAAGTACAAAACTATGATAGTGTTTTAACAAATATATACAAAAGGAATATGCAAGGTGCACTTGAAACATATGACTACAAGACGATCATAATTTTCCACTTACACAGTGACTATCCCAGCCCAGCTATCGTTAGCATCTCACCACTTTCTTAAAAATGTTTGAGTGAGTTTTTAGCTTGAATTGTACATGAGTCTAAGGCAAAACTCTGCAAGCCATAATGTTGTTTTAACTCACTATGCAAAAGATGGGCATAAGTGAAACAATAATGACATACTTTTTTAACTTTTGCACAAGCTAACTTTAAAGTAAATATTCATCCTTAATTTATGTAATTTTGCCAAAACTGAATTGTTTCTGGACACAATGTTGGCAGACATTGGTAGTCTTGATGATGCATAAGAAATGTTACTTGTTTGCCAACACTTTTCTTGAAACAGTAGAAAAGATAGATTCATGAATTTGCCAAGATACCCCCCCCCCCCAAAAAAAAAATAAAAATAAAAAAATGAAAACAAATGAAAAGGTCAAAGCAGCTTGACAGGCCCAATGACGCTCTGAAATGTCAGTGTACATTGTCACTGAAGTGTCTTATTGACTGGGGAGCAGGAAAGTGAAAAGTTTGTCAGATTTTGATGTTTATCTGGCTTAGAAACTGAGACACAGCAGTAAGAAACAATAACAACAGAGCCTCTCAACCTGAACATGAAGTTCCAGGAACATGGCCACTGTGTGAATATGGTTTTCACTCAAAGGGGAAAAAACAACAGAGTCCAGCAAAAAAAAAGTTAAATCAACTGTATGAAGCATGGATAAAAACTGTTTTCTGATAACTTCCAAAAATACACAACAAAGTTAACCAAAAAGACAGGCAGAAACTGCATTTTCTATTTGTGCCGTGGTTATTCAGCACCATCTCGATGTAAATAAAGTAAACCACAGAAACCAAAGAAAAGACTCTTAAGAAGTGTTCAATATGACAAAGTCTTTTTTGGTTCTTCTTATTCCTTTTTACCGACAGTATGCTACATGTGGCTATCTCTCTCTTTGTCTGCCTGTTTGTCTGGCTGTCAGTTCTTCTGTGCGCTTGACTGTCTATCTTTGTATAAAACGGTGGATGCGGCTATTCAGAAAAAAAAAAAGAAAATCATTTCAGAGGATTTTGTTTGAATTGAAGCATATTATGATGTTAATGTAAGGTCTTTGTCACCTAAATTTCTGTGTAATTGCAAAAGAAAAAGACTGAAAAAGTCTATTCTTGGTAATTCAGAGTCATCCAGCATTTTCATGTCTTGTGCTTTCCTGGAATAAAAAAAACTAGGACCCCGTTGGGGCACTGGCGGGCCCGAGCTGTGTCGCGTCCCCCCCCCAACGCGCTGCCTCCCCGTCCCATTTGTGTCCTCTGGCCATCGCCCTCTCTGGTAACGCCCATCACTGCAAAGACCCTTTTCCTTCATCGGCGTTTGCTGTTCTTCCTGCCAGTGCATGTTGCTTTCACTTACACTTGCCACAGCCAGCTTCGTGAGTGCCTAGCCTATTGGATATCACTGTCACCTACACAGGACAGTCATTACCTTTCTATTAATACTTTGTTTTTTAATTTCACATTAATTTCCATATTGTATAAACAACTGGAAAAAACTTGAGCCCCTGCCCCTGTATAATCATGTGCACGTCTCTGTTCTAGCTCTAAGGTGAATCTTCACTGCTCATGTTCTCCTCAGAAGCAGTCACCTCACTCCCCTCAGGTTACTGTACACATGCACCAACTGCCTGCTTCAGGTTTGGATGGAGCTTCATGGTTGTCTTTTGGAGAAATGACCAGTCAAGTTGTGTTTGAAATTTGATTTTTTTCAGGGGCAAAAGGAGCCTCTGCATTCTTGTCAAATATGTAAATAGCATGTTTTTGCAGGTGCTAAAAACCAGACTCTGAGTGTGTGTGTGTGTGTGCGTGTGTGTGTCTGTGTGTGTGTGTGTGTGTGTGTGTGTGTGTGTGTGTGTGTGTGTGTGTGTGCGTTCAAGTCACATGACATATTTAACCGGATGTAGCTGCAAGACGGAGCCTCGTTGACTCTCCGTTTCAACTTATCTCAAAAGTGAGGACCTCAACCTATATACCAGTTTTTAAATTGTGTTGATAGGCCAAATAAAACCAGAGTTATGATAAATTATGTCCGCGATACTTGTTTTCTGCTTATTTTGATCACGTTCGGCGCTCGATCGCGCTGTATGAGACAGGAAAACATAGCATGCAGACATTAGCGACAGGTCTTACAGGCGGAAAAGGCTTGCCAAAGGAAAAAAAAAACACACCACAACATCTCTCCTTTTGGTGGAAAACTTCACCACAACAACCAATCCAAAATTATATGGTGACTGATTGACAAGGGGCGGGTGCTTACGTTCTTCCTGCAATATGAGAAGGGAGGGAGGGACTCTCAGCAGGGATGCAGTCTGGGACACGTAGTTGCAAACCTAGCGACTTTGTTGTTAGATTCAATGACTTTTCAGACCCCCTAACGACGTTTTTTTAGATAGAAAGTGACTTTTATCGACTTCTTCTGGAGTTTAGAGACTCTGACATGAAGCAGGCTTTCCTTACTGAGGAGTTAGCAACGCTGCTAAGGGTGCAAAGCCACACATGCGCTCCGAGCTCTGCATGGGAGACTGAAGCTGACAGAGCTGCAGCAGTTAGCAGGTTTCACCCTCAGAGACCACCAGGGGTTCATGTTGAGGCATTTTCAGTTTTTTTTTTTTTTTTTGCCATAGACACTGTCAGCACAATCTGCAGTTACACTAACAAAAATGCTGCAAAAAACAAAGAATTATGGAAAAATTACACATGGACTGACATAGAGGAGGATCTACACAAATTTTTTACATCATGTTTTACATCATGCATCATTTACATCATGTTTTTTTGTAGTGGCATAAATAAAAAGTGACATTTGTGAGACTATACAGTGTTTTGTAAATAATTTTACAAAGAACACCTGGGCCATTGCCTGCATTTTGATGTAAATAGAGGTAAATTACTATGTTCTTTGTTAAAAATTTGCATGTTTTGAAGTTTACAATTTTTATTTGAAGTTTAAGTTTTACAAACAGTTCATCACACATATTTGTGGTTTTCACAGTAAAAACATTACTTTTTTCCACTCGGATTTTATGTTTTGTGTGTGAATTTGGGTCCAATGTGTAAATATAGTATGTCAAAATGATAAAATAACTGTAAATTGACACAGGTGAGGTTGTGCTGAAGAAAATGATACCAGGCAAGGCAAGGTAAAAATTTTGTAAGAGGAAATATAAAGGTAAAATCTAAATTAGTCAAAAACGGCCAATAGTGACTCACAGACTCCACAGACAAGTCCCTTTGGCGCCACTCAGTGGGCAAAACTACTTTGTCTACTGTAATGTATATTTGGGTCATCTTTGGCGCCCCCTAAAACGTAAACCGTGGGGTGCCGCGTCATGATTTTTACAACTTTGAATGGCCATGGAGTGTAGATTGGCCTGAGCAAATTTGGTGTCAGTGGGACGAAAGCCTTAGGAGGAGTTAGCGAAATTCCAATATGTGCGAATCGGCAAAAAATGCAAAATAGCCCTTTTACCGTACATTATACAGATACGCGCTCTTTACTTTTTCGTAGATCTAATTGAGATACACATGATTGTCAATTTTTGTGTCATTTTGCCAAAGCGTACAGGCGTGACAGTCAACAATGTGTATTTTCACCTTAGGGGACAAGAAAAAATGGACTTTTTTCTCCTGCCATGGGGGGGCGCTCTTTGAGGGAGTAAAAATTCCTTCACAAATGTGTTGATGGCTGGACATTGCATCATCCTAGAAAACTTGGAGGCCAGTGAGGACAAAAATAAAAAGTTATAAGACTTTTAAAAATTTGGATTTTTGGGTTATCTTTGGCGCCCCCTAGAACGTAAACCGTGGGGTGCAGCGTCATGATTTGAATAACTTTTAATGGCCATGGGGTGTAATTTGGCCTGAGCAAATGTGGTGCCGGTGGAACGAAAGCCTTCGGAGGAGTTAGCGAAATTCCAATGTGTGCGAATCGGCAAAAAATGCGGAATAACCCTTTAACCGTACATTTAACAGATACGCGCCCATTGACTTTTTTGTAGATCTTATTGAGATACATGTGTGTGTCAATTTTTGTGTCATTTTGACAAAGCGTACAGGCGTGACACTCAACAATGTGTATTTTCACCTTAGGGGACAAGAAAAAATGGACTTTTTTCTCCTGCCATGGGGGGGCGCTCTTTTGGGGAGTAAAAATTCCTTCACAAATGTGTTGATGGCTGGACATTGCATCATCCTAGAAAACTTGGAGGCCAGTGAGGACAAAAATAAAAAGTTATAAGACTTTGAAATATGTGGATTTTAGTGTTATCTTTGGCGCCCCCTAGAACCTAAACCGTGGGGTGCAGCGTCATGATTTGAATAACTTTTAATGGCCATGGGGTGTAGATTGGCCTGAGCAAATGTGGTGCCGGTGGAACGAAAGCCTTCGGAGGAGTTAGCGAAATTCCAATGTGTGCGGATCGGCAAAAAATGCGCAATAACCCTTTAACCGTACATTTGACAGATACGCCCGCACTGACTTTTTTGTAGATCTTATTGAGATACATGTGTGTGTCGATTTTTGTGTCATTTTGACAAAGCGTACAGGCGTCAGGTGAATTTTTCACCTTAGGGGGCGCTATGGAGCCATTTTGCATTTTCTTGTTTGGGCGACTTCGGAATATCAAATTTTTCACCAGGCCCGGTCGTCCTGCCAAATTTCATGAGTTTTCGCCAGTGGGAAGTGGGCCATTTTCCAGTTCAAAGGGGAGGAAAAATAATAACTAGGACCCCGTTGGGGCACTGGCGGGCCCGAGCTGTGTCGCGTCCCCCCCCCCAACGCGCTGCCTCCCCGTCCTATTCGCGTCCTCTGGCCATCGCCCTCTCTGGTAACGCCCATCACTGCAAAGACCCTTTTCCTTCATCGGCGTTTGCTGTTCTTCCTGCCAGTGCATGTTGCTTTCACTTACACTTGCCACAGCCAGCCTCGTGAGTGCCTAGCCTATTGGATATCACTGTCACCTACACAGGACATTCATTACCTTTCTATTAATACTTTGTTTTTTAATTTCACATTAATTTCCATATTGTATAAACAACTGGAAAAAACTTGAGCCCCTGCCCCTGTATAATCATGTGCACGTCTCTGTTCTAGCTCTAAGGTGAATCTTCACTGCTCATGTTCTCCTCAGAAGCAGTCACCTCACTCCCCTCAGGTTACTGTACACATGCACCAACTGCCTGCTTCAGGTTTGGATGGAGCTTCATGGTTGTCTTTTGGAGAAATGACCAGTCAAGTTGTGTTTGAAATTTGATTTTTTTCAGGGGCAAAAGGAGCCTCTGCATTCTTGTCAAATATGTAAATAGCATGTTTTTGCAGGTGCTAAAAACCAGACTCTGAGTGTGTGTGTGTGCGTGTGTGTGTGTGTGTGTGTGTGTGTGTGTGTGTGTGTGTGCGTTCAAGTCACATGACATATTTAACCGGATGTAGCTGCAAGACGGAGCCTCGTTGACTCTCCGTTTCAACTTATCTCAAAAGTGAGGACCTCAACCTATATACCAGTTTTTAAATTGTGTTGATAGGCCAAATAAAACCAGAGTTATGATAAATTATGTCCGCGATACTTGTTTTCTGCTTATTTTGATCACGTTCGGCGCTCGATCGCGCTGTATGAGACAGGAAAACATAGCATGCAGACATTAGCGACAGGTCTTACAGGCGGAAAAGGCTTGCCAAAGGAAAAAAAAAACACACCACAACATCTCTCCTATTGGTGGAAAACTTCACCACAACAACCAATCCAAAATTATATGGTGACTGATTGACAAGGGGCGGGCGCTTACGTTCTTCCTGCAATATGAGAAGGGAGGGAGGGACTCTCAGCAGGGATGCAGTCTGGGACACGTAGTTGCAAACCTAGCGACTTTGTTGTTAGATTCAATGACTTTTCAGACCCCCTAACGACGTTTTTTTAGAAAGAAAGTGACTTTTATCGACTTCTTCTGGAGTTTAGAGACTCTGACATGAAGCAGGCTTTCCTTACTGAGGAGTTAGCAACGCTGCTAAGGGTGCAGAGCCACACATGCGCTCCGAGCTCTGCATGGGAGACTGAAGCTGACAGAGCTGCAGCAGTTAGCAGGTTTCACCCTCAGAGACCACCAGGGGTTCATGTTGAGGCATTTTCAGTTTTTTTTTTTTTTGCCATAGACACTGTCAGCACAATCTGCAGTTACACTAACAAAAATGCTGCAAAAAACAAAGAATTATGGAAAAATTACACATGGACTGACATAGAGGAGGATCTACACAAGTTTTTTACATCATGTTTTACATCATGCATCATTTACATCATGTTTTTTTGTAGTGGCATAAATAAAAAGTGACATTTGTGAGACTATACAGTGTTTTGTAAATAATTTTACAAAGAACACCTGGGCCATTGCCTGCATTTTGATGTAAATAGAGGTAAATTACTATGTTCTTTGTTAAAAATTTGCATATGTTTTGAAGTTTACAATTTTTATTTGAAGTTTAAGTTTTAAAAACAGTTCATCACACATATTTGTGGTTTTCACAGTAAAAACGTTACTTTTTTCCACTCGGATTTTATGTTTTGTGTGTGAATTTGGGTCCAATGTGTAAATATAGTATGTCAAAATGATAAAATAACTGTAAATTGACACAGGTGAGGTTGTGCTGAAAAAAATGATACCAGGCAAGGCAAGGTAAAAATTTTGTAAGAGGAAATATAAAGGTAAAATCTAAAGTAGTCAAAAACGGCCAATAGTGACTCACAGACTCCACAGACAAGTCCCTTTGGCGCCACTCAGTGGGCAAAACTACTTTGTCTACTGTAATGTATATTTGGGTCATCTTTGGCGCCCCCTAAAACGTAAACCGTGGGGTGCCGCGTCATGATTTTTACAACTTTGAATGGCCATGGAGTGTAGATTGGCCTGAGCAAATTTGGTGTCAGTGGGACGAAAGCCTTAGGAGGAGTTAGCGAAATTCCAATATGTGCGAATCGGCAAAAAATGCAAAATAGCCCTTTTACCGTACATTATACAGATACGCGCTCTTGACTTTTTCGTAGATCTAATTGAGATACACATGATTGTCAATTTTTGTGTCATTTTGCCAAAGCGTACAGGCGTGACAGTCAACAATGTGTATTTTCACCTTAGGGGACAAGAAAAAATGGACTTTTTTCTCCTGCCATGGGGGGGCGCTCTTTTAGGGAGTAAAAATTCCTTCACAAATGTGTTGATGGCTGGACATTGCATCATCCTAGAAAACTTGGAGGCCAGTGAGGACAAAAATAAAAAGTTATAAGACTTTTAAAAATTTGGATTTTTGGGTTATCTTTGGCGCCCCCTAGAACGTAAACCGTGGGGTGCAGCGTCATGATTTGAATAACTTTTAATGGCCATGGGGTGTAATTTGGCCTGAGCAAATGTGGTGCCGGTGGAACGAAAGCCTTCGGAGGAGTTAGCGAAATTCCAATGTGTGCGAATCGGCAAAAAATGCGGAATAACCCTTTAACCGTACATTTGACAGATACGCGCCCATTGACTTTTTTGTAGATCTTATTGAGATACATGTGTGTGTCAATTTTTGTGTCATTTTGACAAAGCGTACAGGCGTGACACTCAACAATGTGTATTTTCACCTTAGGGGACAAGAAAAAATGGACTTTTTTCTCCTGCCATGGGGGGGCGCTCTTTTGGGGAGTAAAAATTCCTTCACAAATGTGTTGATGGCTGGACATTGCATCATCCTAGAAAACTTGGAGGCCAGTGAGGACAAAAATAAAAAGTTATAAGACTTTGAAATATGTGGATTTTAGTGTTATCTTTGGCGCCCCCTAGAACCTAAACCGTGGGGTGCAGCGTCATGATTTGAATAACTTTTAATGGCCATGGGGTGTAGATTGGCCTGAGCAAATGTGGTGCCGGTGGAACGAAAGCCTTCGGAGGAGTTAGCGAAATTCCAATGTGTGCGGATCGGCAAAAAATGCGCAATAACCCTTTAACCGTACATTTGACAGATACGCCCGCACTGACTTTTTTGTAGATCTTATTGAGATACATGTGTGTGTCAATTTTTGTGTCATTTTGACAAAGCGTACAGGCGTCAGGTGAATTTTTCACCTTAGGGGGCGCTATGGAGCCATTTTGCATTTTCTTGTTTGGGCGACTTCGGAATATCAAATTTTTCACCAGGCCCGGTCGTCCTGCCAAATTTCATGAGTTTTCGCCAGTGGGAAGTGGGCCATTTTCCAGTTCAAAGGGGAGGAAAAAGAAAAAAGAAACAAAGAAAAACCCCTTGGGGAATAATAGGGCTCTCGCAGCTGCTTAGCAGCTACGCTCGGGCCCTAATAACAAAAGAAGGAAACATGCAGGAACAAGAGGGCTCTCGCAGCTGCTTAGCAGCTACGCTCGGGCCCTAAAAATACACCCATACATCCTGTCAGCACTGATAAGACGCACCAGCTCCTGCTTTGTTATGAAGGTTTTAATAGAGAAAGAGAATTATTCATTGTCTTCTACAGTACACTAATCTGTTAGGTCTGTAAAACGCACTTGTGTTTGTGATTCTATTATGTTCTATTGTGCTGAACATTCCCACGCCTTCATTCAACCCCGTGTTTCCAAACAGCAGATGGTTTGCTAGCAGCGATAAGAAAAGACATTTAACAGATAAATTAATAAATAAAAATGATGTTTGGGTGTAATATGTAATATTAATATACTGCCAGGCTGTCATAAAAGAAAACAGCAGTGTTTCCTTCCCCTGTTTTCTTTCTGTGTGTGTGTGTCTGGGTGTTCGTGTGTGTGTTGATGTTTATGTGTGTGTGTAATGGAGGTTAACTTCAGTGCCACTCTGTCTTTGTCAAGCTTCTCGTCTGTTATACAGACTTCCATGATGTTTTCATGGACAAGTTTCTGTATTATTACAGAGCAAATATAACTGAACATCCCTTTACAGTTGTAACAGTCTATCTATCTATCTATCTATCTATCTATCTATCTATAATGGATTTGTGAGAAAGCCAAGGTGGAGACTTTATATAAGTGTACACCTTTTGTTTTGAAGTTAAATGTATTCTTTAAACACATAAAATTAATGTCAGACTTTGAAGATAACATTACAGAATTACAGCCTTAATAATGTGTGAGGAGAAGTCCATGTGTCTACGAATATTCCTAGAGTATGTCACGAGGCAGCCTCTTAGCTCGGGGGGGGAAATGCTGCACATGCAAACCTGAAATGGCATGTGTCTGCAAGAAAAGGTGAAAACCCCACACCGCATCATGTATTGTGCCTCTTTGTGTGCGTGTGTGTGTGTGTCTGTGCACAAGGTACATCGCAGTGTCGTGCAATGAAGAAAAGACAGGATGCAGGTATTGAGAAAGATGGGCAGAAAGCTTGCTGTTTACCTAAGATTACATTTTTTTCTAAATCTCTCCAATACAATGTGCAAATGTCTACACTAAAATACTCGATTTGAAAGAACTGAATCTATATATAAAGGCAAAAATGGAAAGTAAGCAGGGAGGAAGAGCAGTTTATAGGCTACGCATGCATTTGGACCCCAAAATGTAAGAGAGCGAGAGAAAGGCAGGAACAAAAGAGGAGAGACCGTTTGTACAGTATGCATAGCAGGTTAATTGCTGTGTGACCACTCTGAGAGCAGTGAACTCTGACCTGCCAAGGGCCAAGAATGGCTTTTACTGATTGGCTTGCAGAAGTGAAAATATATAATTACTCTGGTACCCTTGCTGATGACCTTCATATACAGCGTTGGAGGTGTTCATGAGGAGACAAACTCACACAGTGTTGGCAGGAACTCAGGCCAGTGCTGGAAATTCAGTCAATTTTATCTATTATGAAAGTGACATTGTTGAATGTTTTAGCAACTATAATAGAGATGTTTTATTTATCAATCAATTATTGAGACCTTTTCATATCTAATTAAAAAAAACGCTTTACTGGCAGAGGTCCAGGGCATTCACAGATTTTAATGGCACTAATAAGGCACTAATAAAAATAAAATGAAATAATCAGCAAATTTTTTAATTCTTAAGCAAAAAGATAGCAGTCACTGTCAGCCTGAAAATGTGGGAAATCATACAAGAAAACTGTGAAATTTATGACACATTCACGGTAGCTTAAATCCCAGAGGAACCAAACAGTGAGGTGGAAGTAATCTGTTAAAAAGAAATGGTTGTGGTTATTTCTCTCAAAAAAAGAGAAGAAAATGAAGAATTCCTAGAAAATAAAATGAATTGGATGCACTTGTAATTCCCTTTTTTTCTTGTCTAAAAAGTGAGCTGCATTCTTTACATCATTGCAACCAGTATATCAGTTTAAAATCCAATTGGAGTATTTTATCCAGAGTATTGCACCAAACAGCTGCTCAAAGCATGCTGGATACATGCCTAGTGGCAACACCTAATAATAGCTTTTCCTATCATTAGGTCCTAATTATGCATTCAAATGAAATGGTGGTGTACTATAAAGGAAATGAACCCTGTGGAGTGCTGGTTTGATTGACAGTCTCAATTAAAAATAACAAGAAAACAGCCGAGGAAGAATTATCGTAGGCAGTGTTCCAGTATCTCATAACTTTTAAAGTTACTGTAGGCTGAGCTAAAATAGTACCTCAGCGAGTGGCAAGATGGCAAAAAACATAAAACTAAAGAAAGCTACACAGCTGTATGGGAACTGCACTCTGCTGGAAACAATAGACGTCTTTACGCAGAAACACAATGCAAAGCTTTTCCCACTGGGAGCCCCCAAAACAAACTGCATCCTTCATACCTGCAAGATGTTTTCCCTGAAAACTCACTAAAAGTGGAAAACACAGACATAACCTACTTGAAAAAAATGCATTTCAGTAAAATTTATCTGCAGCCAGCCTCCCAAGGTGCAGTGCAAAAATATGTACAAAAATGTGTAAAACGATCACATCACCATTTACAAAATCTACAACAAAGAAAGCCACCAAGGCAAGAGTTCTGCAGTAACTCATAAAGACTCACGGGAGGACAAACCTGTGGCAATGCAAAGTCAATTTAAGCTAAGCTCTACCGTCTGTGCAAACTAAAGAGGACTGACTCAAAATCCTGAGCAGCCCTCTTTTAGCTCCCCTGGCCCCCTCAGTTGAGCATTGATTAGCAGCCAACATAATTTCAACATAATCCCTTTAAAAATGTGACTGCAATTTCTCTTTAAACAGTGCATGAATTTTAAGGGATAAATGCAAAACAACAAAGAGTTCTATTTTCTTAAATCATTTGACCACATTTGACCGCCACATTCGCCTATTTACTGTGCGGAAATGGTGCGCTCCGTTTCCGTGTTTGGATACACTAGCAGACACAGCAGAGCATGGATGCAATACACCTTTTGCCGGTAAGTGGGTCTGACCCCGTTTAGATTTAGTTTTCATGTTAAAAATAGAGTCCCCGAGTGTGAAACCTTGATAGTGTTTAGAAAGAGAAATGATGGCGGTGTTTACCTGCCGACAGGAGACTCCAGCAGAGAGGGGAAAGTTTGGCGCGTCTGTACCTTGTGTGTGCCCACATTTGCGCTGCCAGCAGTGAGTGGGGGCGCTGCTCCGTCACAGTCCTCTCCATGGGGAAGTTTCTGTGATTTGTCATCAGCTGCTCCTTCTTGCCAAACATAATTCCTGTCATAGATATGTATAAGAAAGGCTAGTTGACTCGAAGTGGAGTCACCGGCGTCCCTCCACGGCGGCCATCTTACTCCAGTGTACCATTCTGGTAGGGCTATGCCAGCTGACAGCAAAGACATATATTCACGGCGGCCATCTTATTTCAGTATACCATTCTGGTACTCACTATGGTAGCTGACGAAGGTGAGTAATCTGCATGATCAAACATATTCTTAACTCGCTGAAATCTTGACAGATTTACAAATGGTTTTGTCTATTACAGCCCTTAATAACGTGGCTATGAGTCGGGATGCTTTAAATGGCAGCTTTTCTTTGAGAAAAAAAGACTTAATCATGAAGCCCAGTTGTTTCACAGCTATTGGCGCGCAAGGGCTAACTTTTGAGTCGCTTTGCGCAAGTTGTCAAGGGAGACCACAATCAAGATTTTAATTTCTTGTATGACAGCCTATTTTTTAATTTTTATTTTTTTATTTTGTCTAAGTGACAGTCTCGGTGGATGTGCTTGTGTTTATCAGCTGTCTAACTTGGCTAACAGGCTCGCTGTGAGTGAGACCAAGTACATATTACAAAGTTGACCCTGCAATTTTACATCATTTGGAGAGGCAGAAATGCTCTTTCGATTCAACATAACTTAAGTTGCACATGATTTCCAAGCTGTTTGGTTTGTTAAAAACATCTAAAATGGCAACTTGAGGCAGAAATTTATATTGAAGATAAATATTTATATATGTTATTGCTGTATGTTATTATAGTTATCCCCAGAACTGAAATATTACTAATATAACATATTTGGAATGATTAAATTTTTTATCTATAAATGATTTAATATAACTGCCTTGTGTGTGTAGGACAAAAAGACGAAACTTCACTTTAAAACAAACAAGCAGCACAGAAATGTAAAAGTGACATGGGACACTTCTTGCTAACCTGTTTTACTGCCTGTTTTGATATGAAATACCTCAGAGACATCTCAGTTTATAATTAGAGTTTTAGATTTAGATTTTTTGCCCATTGCATTTCAACTGGGACAAGAACTGTCATCCTGTCAAATCATGAAATCGAGCTATAACTGTAGCTCAGTTTGACAGATATAGCTAGCTTTTTGATCGAGTTGAAACAAATAACGTACCTTCAGGATTACATTAAATGGTATCTTGAGATTCCACCATCTTGTTTAAATCGTCATACAATGAATCTTTTGATATGCTGGATGTGAGGTATAGAAAAATGCAGTTTACCCAGAGAAATAGAGACGCATTTGTTAGCCTTTATCAAAAGACATTAACGGTGTGGAAGCTATAGGGGTTGAAAGCCTCAACGTCCCACTTGTACTGGGCTCTGTTTAACACCAACTTCATGTTTCACCTTTAGTTTTCTTTCATCTCTTTGTCAGCCTTTATATTTTTGTGGTTTTCACCCCTTTCTGCCTTTTCTCTGCTGTCTTTGTCTCTGTTCTCTGTCTTCCCATTATCAAACCAACATCAAATTTACCTTGATTGTGTCTGTGCATTGATCAGACTACAGTTAGTCCACCAGTGTGTGATCACAGCTGCATGTGTAATCAATATGACAGATAAAACTGCAAAACGTGAACTGGAGTGATATGTGTAGTTGTGGCTGAATATATCTCGATGTGTGAAACTTTTTGTGGTTTTGTGAGTGTGTGAATTTGAGTGAGTGTGTGCGTGTGTGAATTATAGCGTGTGTGCGTGTGTGTCTTTGTGAGGACAGTAATCCCACTAGCTTGGTCCAGGTCACGTATCCTGTCAGGTAGCCGTGGAGATTCAAAGAAAGAGCCATTGGAACGTCTTTGTGTCAGCAGAGGAGTTTAATTAGTCCCTGACTTCCTGAGCTGCAGACTGACATTTAAGTGTCATTCCACTTCTCAGTCTCGATGTGCGTGTGTCTGCGCTTCAACTCCTGCCAGTAGCTTTAACCACAAGTTGTACTGTTTGCGCACATACTGTATACACACATGCGCACACAGCCACACTGTACTGAATGAAAAGCCTGAGGATGTAACTACGCCTCTCTATGTCATGTCCAAAGAAGGCTGTTATCCTTTTTGACAAGTTATGACACAAACTACAACATGATATCATATCATCAAGGCCGCCAGCTGCCCAACAGAGACAGCCTGGCAGCTCCCAATACCACACAGATTAGGAACCATGCATTGTCCAGAGTATCCCATTGTAATGCATGGTGATGTTCGCTTATAAGCAGTTCTATTGTGCTGTGTCATAATGCATTGTATGCTAATGTTGTGAATGGTGTTGGATAATGCACTGCGCTCCCTGGAAGATACACATGTATTGTGTTGTAGTTTTTTGTGTCTGTCCTGAAGGCCAATTTAACTGCATACAGCTGCAGAGGACCTGAAGACTGTCTGTAAATGCTAACATTTAAGAGACTCATTTTTTCTGTAAATGTGCACACTGCCGCTAATGATGTGTGTGCACTCGTGTGCGCCTGTATGTGTGTGTATGTGTGTGCCTCACTCAGCATTAATGCCATGGAGGATTGTGTGAAAGCTGTCAGAGAACATCAGGTTCCTAAAATAGAAGCTCCCCGTGGGACAGAAAGAGGAAGAGAAAGAGACGGAGAGTCAAAAAAAAAAAGAGTGGAGCAGGTATTTGCAAGACAAAAAGCGCAGATTGTTTGCCAGTGAGGATGATTAATTATGGATTAGGGATTACTGTAAATAGAAATGCACATATATGCACAAAAATACACATTTACCTAAACATGCACATACTCACACTTTGACAAAAACAATACCCTGAGGAGTTTCTAAAAAGCTTTTTGTCATGGAACAGTGGAGAGAGGCCAAATGCCAAACATACTCCAGATTCTCACTATCATAAAGGTCCTTCCTAAAAATCCACTGCAATATGGGAGGGTTTGGGTTCATTTTTAACTAGCTGAACAAAATTCAAATACAAAACAAATAAAGATAGGGAGACGAAAGGGATGCACAAGTGTTAATATCTCCTCTACCACAAAAAAAACCTTATTCTACACTATGTCTACATCTGAACCAAAATGTATCTCCTTCAGTGTGTAATTTAGGAAGATAAAGATGTTCGAGAAATTGAGGAAGATTTCCCCCTCATGATTTCATGCTTATAAATATTATCAGCCCAATAATTGATGAATTACATGTATGGAGTTTCCAGTACATAAGATTTGCATCAGTGTAGGGTGTGAAAGATTTAGTCTGCCCTGGGGAAAAAAAATCTCTCCAATACGGTTTAATCTAAATTTGCTTGAGTTAATGCATCCCAGAATGCATAAAGTCTGCATTATATTTCCATCTCATAGCGAAAAAGCCTACACACTGATAAAATACTAGATGAGACTCTTCCTCGTCAAGGATTACAGAGTTATTACAAGAGAAAAGGTGACTAAAAGAGAATGCTCTGGGTCCTGAACCATCAACAGTTTACATTAACAACTTTAGCAGGCTTATTGTGTGCAATGACCTGCAGACTGTTAGATTTATAAGCACATTAAAGCAATTACAAGCATAAGAAGTTACTTGAATAAAAATCCATGTGGACTAATTTTTGTGTGATGGATTAAAAAACTCAAGGAAGGGTTATGGGTCAGCTCCTTTGTTCCATTATTCCATTTTGATTAATTAAAAAGAAAATTGGAAATGTGGTTTGAAAAATACAGAAAAAGGTCTTAGATTGGTTTGCTGTAATGTAAAATAAACAACGTGCTCAATGAGAAAACAGCATGGTCTTTTAATCTGCACCAACAGACTTTACTTCTTTTACTGGGCACAGTGAATATGCTGCACTAGCTCGTGGGTCAAGGTAAATATGGAGCCATTGACAGTGATTCATGACACAGTGACACATTTCATAATGCTTTCCTTCAATGCATCCTTGCAACAGCAATTCACTTGTCTGCAGCTTGTATTTTGAAGGTGATTTTAACATTCTTCATACGTCCCTCAGAGGGTTTTTCTTTTCTCCTCTTTGGTGATCTCTCTTATTCTCCAACTCATTGTAGTATATAGTAGGTATAAGGGAGATCCTGCAGGTACAGGAGGAGATGGAGGGGGCACGAGAGTTTAAGAGATTCTTTTAAGACAACAAAGAGTATGTAGCATATGTAGGAGAGAGGGTGGAGAAAAAGACGGGACTCAATCATCCGGTCATCCAACACTTCTGAGCAGGTAGTTAATGAGGGTATATGAGTCCCCTGCTATCTCTGCTATTCCATACCAACCCTGTGCCTTTCCATACAGAAGTGGTGGATAATTAAAAGATGGAGCGATAAGGAGGACCACTGTGACCTCATCTCTCTTCCCTCTGCTCTGACATAATTAAAACAGAGACTTCATGAAATCATTCACCGAGTTCTCTCTCACTGTTCAACCGTACTACATCTACATCAACAAAAATCATTCTCAGACGTAATGACTCTGCTTAACAACACAGAAAATAGGACCTGTTAAAGACATGGGATGTTTTATGGGCACAATCATGGGAGCCGTTTAATTGCTGCTGGCTGAGAATAAAGAGGTTCGCTGTGTTATCGTGGTCTCAGTGTAACCAAAGCAAACTCCTCAGGGGAGCAGTTACACCGGTTATTTATCATACCGCTGTAATTACAGCGACTATAATTTGTTTTTCTGTTGCTTTAAAGCAGATAGTGTGCATGTTTTTTTTATGGTACTCTGACACCAAGTTAGGTAAATAATGTTGTGTTTTAGGTTTAAAACAACTAGGTTTCTATGGGGTTATTCAGGATACACAATTTGTTGTTTTATCTGCTGCACTAGCGTTGTCCACAGAGTTTTCCTTCAGGTGAAGGTTCTCTCTAACATTTTCTATTCAAGTCTCTTTTGTGTCTGTGTCTTTGAATTCAAAGAGCTTTAGTCACATATCTCCTCTTTATAGTGAAAGCTGGGACAAATGCCAACACAATAAACAATTCATCTTACATTCATTGTTCTATGCTATAACATAACTCTAACTAAAATGATTGACTGAATAATTCCAGATTGATTCCGTCCAAGACAAATTTGTGTGCATAGTAGGAAACATTAGATTACAAAGGGAAGTGTGTCTGTGTGTGTAAAACAAGAAATACAAGTAAACTTGAGAGGAGTATTAAACTGGTCATGAAATAGTCTGGGATTTGTACTGATGCCTTAAGACCTTCCAAAGCAAACAAGACCACCAACTATGAGATTCATTCTTTCTTGATCATCTTATGGCTGTATCTGTGTCGCTGCAAGATGTTAGGAGTCTGACTGGGCGACTAACAGCATGCTACTCAGATAACCTTTCTTTGTGTCTTTTTGGCTGTCAAGTTGCTGTGACTATTAGCAGGGCTTGAAATCACTCAGATTTAATCTTCACAACCTCAGAATATATTTGGGAGCATTTGTATGAATGCAAAAAATATGATGCACACCCCCTTTCCCCCATATATCCATAAAAATGTTGCTGATACAGTGACCAGAACTTGATTGATAATGCCTGCTGAAAGGACCAGTTTCATAAAGTTACTTAGAAGGGATGTGTGCCCCTTAGCTGTCATTACAAAGCTGTTGTGTTTCTAACCAATCTGTACCTTCCTCCTGTTTTGGCACCATTCTGTTGAGATCCAGCCCTAAGCTGCAATGATCAAGAGCAGGGAGCGAGGAGGAGCGATAGTATTAAATTCTATCTGGTAACCTCATTTTATTTGATCAATACAGTTTTGTACCTTAATGACTTTTGGGTAGGTTTTTATGCATACCAAGGTTAATGCAGCTCTCGGGGATTGGACTTCTTTTTAAACAGATGTTGAATTCATTGACACAGACATCAGCTGAGCAGTGAGAGGGATGCAAATGGGGAGAGAGAGAGATTGCACAAGAAGAAACACATCTACAAAAGCATTCAACACAAGTCAAGATAACTTTTTTTTTTTTTAAACAGAGAACTGTGACAAAAGGCTCAAACCAAGAGCTATGCAAGTTACTTCCATCACCAAAATAACTGCACTCGACACAACTTTGAAATAATATCATCTTTTGAAAACTGAGAATCTATCAGATTCACAGAAAAATGGGCTTTACCTGGTTTTCGCTTATGCTAATATGCATGCCAAATTGAAAATTTAGGAACAAGGTACAAAGAAAAGAAGTATACACACATCAAATCATGAAACATACAGTAGACAAAAGTAACATTACTGTTTATGGGGGCATCAAGCTGCTTCAAAGCCATCACGCAGGGAGCATGTTGACTGGGTAAAGCTTACTGTGGAAACTTAGGCAAGGTCAGGATTTACTAGACCAAACTGTACCAAACTAAACCAGACCACTTAGTGGACAGGCTACACAATCAACTCCCATTCAGTTTAAGTCAACACTAACAAAACAAATCCTTACACCAAAATTTCTGCAATGGATCGTCGCATTGAGCATTTTTCAGCCAACATTGAAAATTAGATATTCAGATCAACTCACTGTATGAAGCTGAAACCAAATACCAACATTAAATTGTGTGTTACTAGGCAGCTTGAGAATCCCCCATCTTTTCTGAATAGGCAGGTGAAGGATCACAGGATATTTAAGAGCCACAAAGGATGCCCCAATGTCCCCTTGGGTAGAACGTTTATGTCAGCCACAAGGAGCCTGCAAAGTGTGATAGCCTTCCATGCTTCTCTGTGATACAATCAGATTTCAACCTGAAGAAGCCTTCGAAGTATGTTGCCATAGTGCATCACACTCAAAAATAATAAAATATGACATGAGTGGAACAGGTTTTGATCCCAGCATAAAACCTTCAGCATGAAAACCTGCCACTTCTCACCACCAGAAGTATCATCACCAGGTATAAATAAGAGACATCATTTTCACAAGATTTTCTTGTACTATCTTCTTTTTAGTGTTAGAAACTGCATCTTTTGTAATTTTTTAAAACCTTTTCATCCACATTACGCAGTCAATGATGTGCCATATTTGTGGTTTTGTATGAAATATAGCATTTGTTGAAATCATGTCTCATGGATGGGATTTCAACCACCATCAGATTATTTAAAGCAATTCGAGCACCATTATCATTTCCCCTCTATAAAAATCCAGTTTTTAATCAAATTTTAATGTTTAAGTGTCAAGACTACACTTTGGACTGGGTTTAGGGTCCTAAAATTCTAATAGAGTAAAATAGAGAAAGAGATTTTATACAAAGAGTTGTGAGCTGCAGATTGTTCAAATGCTCAATATGGCTTAAGTTTGGTAGTTCTTGGCAAGTGGTTTCTTGATGTTGAATAAAATAAGACAGGCATAGGTTAGGGTTGGGGTTGTGAAGTTTTAATAATCCGATAAAAACTCTGAATAACTCTAGCTGTTCTTAGAAAATGTACTCAGAAAGTTTAAAATGTGCCTGAGTTGACTGAACTCTTCGAACCTTTTGTTTGGATTTATAGTTCATGCAAAAGTTTGGGGCGAATTTGAATTTTAAAAATTCTTATTCATGTGTTGGTAAAATGAATTGCATCATTATCAGCTCTACCGTGTGATTAAATTCAGGTCTCTGTTGCTGTTTTTGGTCTCTCCCTTTCATTCTTCAAACCCTCTGACCACCCCAAGTCACCTCATTTACCTCTCCTCAGCCTCAGAGATAGACAGATCAATTTTTTGTCTGAGGCTCAGCTCACTTCGTGTCTCTTTGAGCACCTTCATCACTCCTCTTCCCCTTCCACTCATTCTTTTTCCGTTCCCAGTGAACCCCATTGTAATTCCTCTGTCGCCCTGACTCTCATTCACTCACTCTGCTTATTTTTCACTCTCTTTCTCTTTCAGTGTACAGCTTCTGCTAGCCTTGGGGTGTGCTTGCATACACATGTGTGTGTGTGAGTGTAAGAGAGAAAGAGAAAGAGAGAGGGAGAGACCTGCTAGAGATTTTCTAAATCCCAGGTAAGAGGAGAGCTTTTCTGCGGGAGAATTTCATTTCAACACCTCTCATCTTGCACAGAGAGCAGGAGGATAGGACTCTCCCAGTTATGAATCCAATAACCATTGTGCGTTTGTGTGCGTTTGTGTGCTGTGAGGGGGGCCAGACGCTCTGGTCTGTTTATAGGATTGGAGGTTACTCCCATAAACTGAAACTGAAGGTCAAAGAGAAAACGAAAGAAAGAAGGTGTAAATGTATGGTGAGAAATAAAAGCAGGGGTTGTGCACGTGTGTGTTACTGTTGTTTAAACTTGTGTGTTTGTGGAGGACAGGGTCCAAGAACAAGTGCGTGAGCATAGCAAAGTCAAGGTGGCATTATGCTACGCAAGCACATACCCATTGTCTGTATGTTAATAAGCTTGTATTGATATGTAAGCGAGCATGCTCCCACACACTGATTATTATACACACATATATGTACACAACAGCTGAGTGGGAAAGAGTGTATCGGGTTAGAGAGCTAAGGTCAGCTCTAAATCATTACAGGTCACCATGGCAGGCCTGGCAACCAGATTAGATTAAAGTCTAGCTGATAGACCCAGCCAAGCACATTAAAGCACACACACACACACACACACACACACACAGGTTCACTTCAGCACACACACTTGTACGTGGAATAAACTCAAAAGTGGAGACCCCAGTGTATTAATCACAGCTGGCCTGAATGTAATGTGCTGTGATGTGTCTTTGGTCTCTTGTACACAAAACGAGGCAGCTCCCTGACCCCCGCACAGTTAACAGCCATACAACAGATAAAAACAGTCCCAGTGGTGGGGACTGTTGGGAAGGGGGCCGATTGGAAGATGAAGAGGCTGATTAGATTAGAGCAGCAGGAGACGGGTCACTGTGCTGCTCCTCTGGCTCCAGGGGCTCCCACACCAGGGGCGACACACACACCAGGGCCGAGCCAAGGATGCTGGCCTCTTGGAAACGCGACTGTTTTGTTAAGATTAAAAAGTGTTTATGTGTTTGTGTGTGTGTGCCCACTTGGATGGAAGAGAAGACAGATGAATAAAGCAGCTGCTGTTTATCTGCATGGCATCTCTGCTTTCAAGCACAAGAACAACACTATAAAGCTCCCTTGGTGGGCTGTATGTAGCTGCTCTATATCGCACCGCTCTGTCCATCGCCGAAGAACAATGGAGTGAGAGATAGAAGATCTCCCTGCTTGCCCCTCTTTATCATTCCCTGCCCCGGCTGCATGCCTATCTCCCTCTGTTAGGTGATCTATGTCTGACCTTCAGTGGTGAATCTGCTGTTGGCTGCCAAGTGGATCTTTAACTGCTTCTGTGATTCACATGACCTCACTTCCTCTGACCCTGCAAGGCGCTGCTTGGTGTGGCTGACAGCCAGGAGTGAGGGGCGCCCAGCCAGGCCAGATAAGGGCTTCTCAAAATCAGTTTGGACTGCTATGAATATTCTCGACAGCCCCATTTCACCTCTTTTGCTCTTTTCTCCTCCTCCATAGCCTGTTTTTGTAGGTGGTGCCTCTGCTCCATCCAACACCCTGTATAAATAGTGGAGGTAGCAATAATGCCATAACACAAGTATTGTCCACTGCCTAATTAAACCTTGGGTTTGGCATTTTAGTCATTGCCATTTGGGTTTTCTGTAGCCAGTGTGACATGCTGAAAAAGTTATTCACTAAAAGTTTGGAATAAAACAGCAAGGTCATGTTCTGTTGGAAACTTGAGCAAGGATAAAAACTTTTACTTTAGCCAGTCATGTTGAAGAAAACTGCAGAGATGAAACTGGAAGAGTGTTTACTGTACATGTTTTACTTTTTGTCTGTATTCTTTACAGTAAGTTGTCACAGGGTTTATATGTGATCGAGTGAGTTGTCTCAGTCAGATTTGCCTGTGTGAGAAGGTTTAAGTCTCCATCCAGGTAGCTGGATATATCATATGATATCCTCATATATGAGGAGGAAAAGTTAGCATGTAAGCTATCGCCTGACATTGGACTTATGCTGTTAAAAGCATAGATGCCGTCTCAGTGACATCACCCACTGATTTTTGTGGAGGGGGTTTTTAGCGATCGATGACTGTCACCATATTGGAAATGCTGACTGAGCTTCACTTTAAGTCAAATAGATAAAAAGGTGGAGTTAAAGGGATATTCCGGTGTAAAATTAAGTTAGAGTCAAACACATCGTAACACCGAGTTAGACACCCCCGCGAGAGGTGAATGTTGCTGACCACTTGCTTCTCTAGTTATACCAACTTTAGTAATGACTGCAGGTAGCAATACAGAGAGCCACTCTATAGCCACAAATAATGCCCAGAACAGCACGGCAGAACAGAACAGTCGGCAACATTCATCTCTCGACGGGGCGTCTAAACTCGGTGTTACGATGTGTTTGACCCTAACTTAATTTTACTCCGGAATATCCCTTTAAGGTGGACTTTTAACCACATTGCAAAAAGCTGCATTCCCCCAGCCCGTGTGTCAGCTTGGCCAGCCCACCAATTATGTATCCAAGACAAAAATTCGCCTCTCAACAAATAAAGAAATAAGATGACTTTAATTTCCGTGAATTTTAACTATTTTGATTGAAAAAGTTCCTTGAATTTGGCTAAACCTGTAATTTTGCTGTAAAAAAAGATATTGGAACATGTGTTAATGAGGATATTTTGTTTCTGCTGCCAACATCAACTGGACTCCTGAGGAAATGCAGTATTTTGCAGCCCTGCAGCAGTTTAATTCTTTTCAACACAAGTTACCACTTTTAGAGCCAGCCTCTAGTGGCTTTCTGAAGAACTGCAGTTTTTGACATTTCTGCATTGATTCCATTTCTCTAGTCCAGAGGTTGCTGCTTGCTAACACCCCACTTAATCCTAACTGTCATCGCTTTGAAGTACGTTAACTGCAGATGAGAGGACTCTCAACTGTGCTCCCATGTTTGAGTTAAATTGGTTGAGAACAGTGTTTCCCATTGTACCGGACCAACCAGAGACCTCATCAACAGACCTTATCTATTATTTACACAGCACCACTGATACTCCAATAAAAAAAAGCTAACTGCCTCTCCAAACAACTTTCTACTGTCACAAACAAGTGAAACATATTCGTATGCTTTCTGGCACCCAGACACAGCGGTATCTTTGATCCAGTGAAGAGCATTTCTTAAAAGGCTTCACATTGCCTAACAAATATGGGGGTCGATAAGGGTGGTAAAAGTTCACAGCACACATGCAGATACATAAATTAGAATAAGAAAAAAGTGACAAAACAAGACGAAAATGGATGGTTTGCTGTCCAAGCACACACTTGAGGCAGATGTTATTCCTTTTGGACTGGGTGTTGCAAAGCCCTGCTAGATTTGATAGCCATGACTTTCATCTGCAGCACGGTATACGCTGATTAGCTTCCAGGGAGAAAGCCGGGCTGAAGGGGCTGCAGAGGGGAGAGGTGGCATCTAGAAGAAGGATGGGGAAAAGGATTTTTGAGATATGTGAAATGAAATCCTGTTGAAGTATATTAAAACTACACTTTGAATCCTTTCCCCAGCGGAATGTGGCAGAGGGAGTTTGATCAAATGCATGCAAATCCAGATACAAACACATGCTGGGAAGTCAAGACTGAAGTTTCCTCTGAATACACACCTTCTTTTAAATGTATGGGCGAGAGTCACAGTCTCATTAATAGTGATAGTGCAGCATCGCAACTAATAATCACCATCTCTCCCTGTGCATCTGCTTCTGACACTGTTTCACTTAACTGCAGAAGGGCCAGAAGGGTTCACATCAGGATAAGTCATACCCAGTCCATATATCAAAGACATTTCAGACCACTTTACCAGAGGGTGACTAATTGTACACTGCCTGGGAGATCAAGTCCGCATCCAGAGCCAGGTTGTCAGCTCTGACAGGCACAAGTCTGGAACTAGTCCCATATTTTACCCCTCACTGCACTTCCTGCATTATGCTGAACAGAGTCATATTCAGAGCTCTTATTCCTCTATCTCGATGGACCCTTCTGACCAGATTTGACCAGCTTCGTATTTCCTTTTTCCCTCACTCTATGCAGTAAGTCTGCACCTACTCTGCTCAACCATGAAACCATAACTAAATATAAATCATCCTTTCTCTTACTCTGTCATTCGGATAGCCTTTTCACACTGACTCATTTGTTCTCTTTATTTTTCCTTAATCCCCCTCCTCTCACTCTCTCCCTCTCTCTCCTATATTCTCTCTTTCCCCCGTCTGCACCTTACACAAACACAACTCTAATAAATTGTGGCACTGGTAATTACATAGAACCCACCGGTAAATTTCACTTCCATTTACATTTAGATTACAGAATATTTCATTCCTATCAATCTGCTGTGCAAGACCGCAGTGTGTGGATGGCTTCACCCATATGCAGACACAACTGTTCATGGCATTTTTATATTCTCATTGGTGCATGTATGGACACACTGGGGGGTGAACACCCATATGCTCACACTTAAATGTACACACAAACTCTAAATGTGCGGGCAAAAGAGAGGGCACACAAACACCTACAGGTGAGAGCATACACATCTACGCACTGGGCAATAAATCTTAATGTTCACCTGGAAACCTGGACAAATGCACGCATTAGGGTGGTAACTTCTAATTTCCCCGTCGACAGATTTATACATGCAGATCTATTTGAGCACACAGTTTTTTTAAAGGCTTTTTTGAGGTAATGGCAAACTGGGGCACTGTCTCATGCGGGGTTGGCAGTAGGATGTGTGCAGAAAAGCAGTTCTGAAAAGAATTTATTCACCGTTTCTGTGACAAACACAACAGTTTCATGTTGTTGTCAAATTCAGTGTTGAGGTTTTTACGTGATATACACAGTGGCAACATTTTACTCCCTTCACTTGTTATTTAAAGCCCCTGTGAGGAAGAAGTGGTTTGTCTTTTTACTAATGTGTTTTTTTGTTTGTTTTTTTTCAAACAACAAATCCGAATCTGCCATTTTTTAAAAAGCAAATTTATCACACTGTAGAATATTTATTTCTAAAAAAATGATCTTTTGGCAGCATGTTATTAATCATTGACCAACAACCTCCCTAAAGTGAAGCCAAAACATTCAGAGTTCCCTCTGGTGACGCGCTGCAGTATCAGTCATAAATCTGGCCTCCTCCATTATGACAGACGTACATGGATCACACTTGAAAACTAGAGTACAGGTCAAGTCGTTTTTTCTAATGTGTGTGTAGTCATAGCTAATAAGTCCATGCTGATTTATATGTCTTTCTTTTTTCTTTTTCACCTGCCTCAAAGAACCATTAACCCCAAGAAATCACAAGAAATCACAAGAAACCTCAGATCTGGGAACTCAAACCGTCTCCATACGCCTAAGACTAAGCTCTACACAATGGGGGATCGGGCCTCTTTCTCCGCTGCTCCTCACCTGTGAAACGCTCTTCCTTAAGGGCCCCACAGACTGTTGAGTCTTTTTAAAAATACATTTGAACATCTTTATTTTTTAAAGAAGCATTTGCCTGTTGGGATGTGTTCTTGAAACACAAACCTTGAATTTCTTCACTTGACCTTCTCTTGCACTTTTTCAATGCTAACCACCTGTACTGATGTTTTAATTACTCGTTTCAATACTCCTGATTTCATCTGTAGCACTGAGTTTTATTTCAGACAGTAGGAGGGTTATAAAAATATATATAATATTCTTATCATTTAGTTAATTAAAGTTAAGTAACAAATGCAGGGTCCTGCTGCATTGTTAATGAGACTAGAGAAGAAACAGTAAAGAAACAAAGACCACTTCTGCTGATTCTACAAGTCCACCTAGTAAGGCGATACTGAGCCTTCACTTTGTAAGAATGGAAGGAGATTAGAGCCGGCCCAAGCCTCAATGGGGCCCTAAGCCAAATTTGATTTTGGGGCCCTCTATTTCTGCCAATAATATTGACTGTTGATCATTCACACACCTTCACAAATCTCTTTGATTAACATTCCATGACATGCAAACATACCTTTATCCTGGCATTTTTTTCTCTTCTCCCTCTTTCTTTTCTCTGCTCTTGAAGGATATGTCTTTTTTTTATGACATTTTTTTGACCTACAACTACCTGCGCTTTGGATGCTCAGTGCACATTGCACAGCAGGAGGCACAAAACGGTAGCGGAGCTTTGACATATCGGCAGTAAGAATTTTAGGCCTACATCAGCAGCATCACTAAAATGTTTTTACTTTATTATGCAAAAAATAAAAATATTAAAATATATATATATTTTTTTTTGATTGCTCTTGGGGGCCCCCTACTGGCTGTAGGACTTAAGCAGGCGATTTGTTCGCTTATGCCTTGGGCCGGCTCTGAAGGAGATAGAGGTGTATTGTCCTTATCAATACTCAATCAGTAGGTCGAAAATAACCTACTAGGGATTGTGACTTTTCTCATGAGTAGTCTTGTTTGCTTTTGTAACTTACAAAGGAGGCTTT